GAGGCAGATGTGCCTTTTGTCATTTATAAAAAGATAAATCACTTTTCTATAATACATCAATGATATTTCAGTGGAATAAATTACTTATTGACTTATTCATACTTCAAAAACAGCATCAATAAGTGATTAACATAGGGGGGATCAAAATAAAATAAATAAATAAAATAAAAATCAACCAGCCACCCTCCTCCCCTGACAAGTCCCTTCATAAATAAAGAACAGTCCCTAAAGTGCGGTGAGGTTTGTGGACCATTACCTGCCACAAAGAGAAATGTGAACAGCTCGTTTCTCCTCTGACACATCACATACCTGTGTGCCGCCACGGCTCGGTTGTTCAGGTACTTTTGGGCAGTCATGACACCAAGAAGAGGAAATTATTAGACCTGGAGCCTTCTCCGTCGCCGGTAAGCCGTTATCTTGCGCCGCGGAGCACTATGGCCACAGCGGCATATCAAGTGCCAGGTGGCCAGCGCGCACCATTATTGGACGGCGTATGGACACTCACCCTCTTGCAATTGGACTTTGAACTTATCCCACAGTAGTGGTACCTGAGGTACTGTAGTACTACGGTACTCAAACATTATGGTATCATATGTACGGTGGTGTTTTAGTACCGCAGTCTACCGTTGTACCAGTATACCCTGCAACACTACTCTAGATAGTTCAGTATTATATTCTTTGCAAACCACTTTTCTTCTATCACTCTTGAACACTTTGACGACATTTTACTCCGTCCGTCACCGCACGCTGTTTGATTGCGTCATCAAACACACCGCTATTATTCGGCCTTGCTTTTCACTTATTCCACCGAATACCGAATGTGTGTTTTTTTGCAATATTCGGCCGAATAGATTCAGTTATCGAATATTCGGCGCATCCCTAGTAATCAGTCTCACCTGTTGAATCAGACTCACCTGTTAGTCAGACTCACCTGTTGAATCAGTCTCGCCTGTGTAATCAGTCTCGCCTGTGTAATCAGTCTCACCTGTTGAATCAGACTCACCTGTTGAATCAGTCTCACCTGTTGAATCAGACTCACCTGTTGAATCAGTGTCACCTGTTGAATCAGTCTCACCTGTTGAATCAGACTCACCTGTTGAATCAGTGTCACCTGTGTAATCAGACTCGCCTGTTGAATCAGTCTCACCTGTTGAATCAGTCTCGCCTGTTGAATCAGACTCACCTGTTGAATCAGTCTCACCTGTGTAATTAGTTTCACCTGTTGAATCAGACTCACCTGTTGAATCAGACTCACCTGTGTAATCAGTCTCACCTGTTGAATCAGTTTCACCTGTGTAATCAGTCTCACCTGTTGAATCAGTTTCACCTGTGTAATCAGTCTCGCCTGTTGAATCAGTCTCACCTGTGTCATCAGTCTCGCCTGTTGAATCAGACTCACCTGTTGAATCAGTCTCACCTGTTGAATCAGTCTCACCTGTGTAATCAGTCTCGCCTGTTGAATCAGACTCACCTGTTGAATCAGTCTCACCTGTGTAATCAGACTCGCCTGTGTAATCAGACTCGCCTGTTGAATCAGTCTCACCTGTGTAATCAGACTCGCCTGTTGAATCAGTGTCACCTGTTGAATCAGTCTCACCTGTTGAATCAGTCTCACCTGTTGAATCAGACTCACCTGTGTAATTAGTCTCACCTGTGTAATCAGACTCACCTGTTGAATCAGACTCACCTGTGTAATTAGTCTCACCTGTGTAATCAGTTTCACCTGTTGAATCAGACTCACCTGTGTAATCAGTTTCACCTGTTGAATCAGACTCACCTGTGTAATCAGTTTCACCTGTTGAATCAGACTCACCTGTGTAATTAGTTTCACCTGTTGAATCAGTCTTGCCTGTCTCAGGTGATGATCTCAGTTCAGTTTTAAACCCATTGAGTTTATAAAGTTACAGATTTTTAACATGTGAGAAACATGTTACAGTTGACATGTGTTGAACATGTGTCACAGTAAACTGTAATATACTGTCATATGTATGTAGTGTAACTCTAATCTGTTACTTCACAGTAACTTCACGCTGTTGAGTTTTAAAGTGAAACTTGGACCAATCAGACTGTGACCTCACTGATCCCCTCCAATCAGAATGATTCATGTCCTCTGGTCTCAGATCCCTTTTTAATTCTGGTAAAATCCCCTCTGACATAAATCACAGGAGGCGGAGTCTCAGTAATGACATCATAACAGATGGTCAGGAGGTGTTGAACAGGAGCCGAGGCGTCGCCGCTGCTCATACTTTAAATCATCTGATCCTTAAGTGGAATCTGGAACCAAAACAGAGTCCACGCTCTGCAGCGCCAGCAGCTCCATCACGGCGAGGGGAGGGGGGGCTGGGTCAAAGGTCAGCTGGCAGCAGAGACGCATCACTTCCTGTTGTCATCTCTGAAACTCTCCACACGCCTCTCTCTGATCACAACATTATTTAAACAGGAGAGTCGTCATGATGTCATCAATGACAGGAAGAACCTCAGTCCCATGATGCTTTAAGCTGCCACGCAGAAAACACATGATCAGATACATATTGATTACTGATGACTGATCAGTAACTGATGACTGATCAATGACTGATGACTGATCAGTAACTGATAGGGCTGTCAACGAATATTCTAATTCAAATTTAAATTCGAATTTGAAAAAAAAAATGGACCTTCGAATGTTAAAATTGATATTCGATTGTAGAGAGAGAAAAAAACACCACCGCAGTTGTCCTCTTTGCGAGTGGGCGTTGGCCCGGGCTGCTGCACTGAAAGCACTGGACAAGCGGTTCTGCTCCCAGCTGTTGTCTCCGTCACCCGGCTTGACACATCCACTCGCGGCTCGTGCAGAAAATAGACCAGAGCTGGCCACGGAGCTGTGCGGCGCTTCGGGGCTCTTTGCAGCATTTCCGTGAGCAGTGTGGCCTGACGGGTCAGAGAGGGGGGGCGAGCGAGAGGTCCGCGGTCATTTCTAACGTAATGTTATAGATAATTGTTTTATGTGTTTTAATGTGTAGGTATGTAAATGTTTTCAAAGACGTTTATGTTGAAATAAAAATACCTACAAGTAGTTTTGTTTCCTTGTATTAATACATATACAAGTATGTTTCCTTGTATTAGTTTGCCCTCTTGTGGACATAATGCCGAAAAAAAATATTCGAATGGTTTGAATCTATGAGTTATTTTTAGAAGGAATATTCAAATGTCATTTTTGAGCAATTTTGACAGCCCTAGTAACTGATGATTGATCAATGACTGATGACTGATCAATAACTGATGACTGATCAGTAACTGATGACTGATCAATGACTGATGACTGATCAATAACTGACTGATCAATAACTGATGACTAATCAATGACTGCTGACTGATAAGTAACTGATGACTAATCAATAACTGATGACTGATCAGTAACTGATTACTGATCAATAACTGACTGATCAATGACTGCTGACTGATCAGTAACTGATGACTAATCAATAACTGATTACTGATCAGTAACTGATGACTGATCACTAACTGATGACTAATCAATAACTGATTACTGATCAGTAACTGATTACTAGGGATGTCCTGATCTGATATTCGGATCGGAATCGGCCACCGATATTAGCAAAAAATGGGCATCGGCATCAGATTGCATGGAAAAATGCTGATCCAAGAACTCCGCTGCAGGTTTTCCGGCCAGCCCAGCGCTCCGCGATTCAAGCAGTCCATTCCAGTGATCCGCTCCAGCTCTTACTATCAAGCCACCAGGCCAGCATGCAGACGGCAGACACACACGGAGGGTAGGGTAGGAAGAGTAGCGGTCAACTTAGCTAACTGACTATTTGTTTTCTGCTCTGGTTTTTTGAGAATGGTATTTTCATTTGGTTTACACTCTTACTGTTTAAGTAAAGAGCACTGATGGCATTGTTTTGGGCACAATTAGTGAAACTGGAGCCATGGATGGACTATTGCTTGTTTAAACAGTTGTACAATATTTTGTGCCTGTGCACCAGGCTGGCACTGACACTACTAAAATAACTGAAAAGGAAAGGCTGCATTGTTTGTTAAATGCCAACAATGTCTTGTGGTGTTAATCTTTTTTTTATTCATTAGGGGAGCAAAGCACAAGTGTGTGGAGTCTTGCTGCTATTTTAATTTCAGTGTTAGACATTTTAAAGATTTCTTGTGTTGATTTATTTTCTATTTATTAAGGGGCCAAAGCAAACCAGCTATATTTTTTATTTAATGTTAATGTTCAAGTTTAAAGTTTGTTTATTTAACCCTGTTAACAACAAACAGGTCAGTTTCTCATACCAACTGTTGTGGATCATTCTAACTAACCTGATTAAGTAGTTGTTCTTGTTAGAGTAATATTGCTTGATCAAACCTTTTCTAACATGACTGACAACAAAATAAGTGAATATGACTAATCAATAACTGATTACTGATCAGTAACTGATGACTGATTACAGATCAGTAACTGATGACTGATGACTGACAAACTGAGGCTGTTTGTTTTTATTTTGCTTGTGTTGTTAACGTGCACCTCTCGGTCACATCAGTCTGATGTACTGATCTGTGATAAGTTTAAGTTAAGTTTATTTACTTTATTAATCCCCTGAGGGGAAATTCACTGTTTTCACTCTTGCTTGTCAATTACACACAGGTCCGAAAGACACACACATGCACAAACAGGACCTATACATGCACAGAGTGGAGAGATGTCAGAGTGAGGGGGCTGCCCTTGGTGAGGCGCCCCGAGCGGTTGGGGGGTTCGGTGCCTTGCTCAAGGAGGTGAACTGGCACCTCTCCAGCCACCAGTCCACGCTCCATATTTGGTCTGGACGGGGACTCGAACAGGCGACCCTCCGGTTCCCAACCCAAGTCCCTATGGACTGAGCTACTGCCGCCTACTGATCTGATTGTCCTAGCAGTATGAGTCTGTAAACAGCAACATGTTTATTATTGATGACATCACTTCCCCTTCCTGCTGACGTCTGCATGTTCACAGGGTAAATAAAAAACAGTTTCATAAGACAGAGGAACTTTGAGGCTGACGAGGATCAGACAGGCCCCCTGACCATACAGACACTGACTGGCGTACCTGTGCGTCAGGTGAGCATCAGCTGCTGCCACCCAGCTGGTTTGAACCAGGAGCATGTGATGATGTCACTGTGTAGATGACGTGTGCGGATAGAATGTTGGTCATGATGCGTCTGTGACATCCCGCGTTTGGTCAATGACACGTTTTAGGTCCAGTTACCTTAAATACTGTGTGTTTGTCCATCTGTCCTTCCAGGTATGGGAGCTGTCCTCAGGTGAGCTGCTCCTGTCCGTCCTGTTTGACGTGGAGATCATGTCTGTGACCTTTGACCCCTGCGAGTACTTCCTGTTCTGTGGAGGCAGCGATGGAAACATTTTCCAGGTGTCTCTGTGCAGCCAGGTGGGTCTCACTCCTCACTGTACGTCCTCTGTGTGACCCTTCTACATCTGATCCTAATGTCCCACCATCCTACATCCTACTGTCCCACCATCCTACTGTCCCACCATCCTACATCCTAATGTCCCACCATCCTACTGTCCCACCATCCTACATCCTAATGTCCCACCATCCTACTGTCCTACCATCCTAATGTCCCACCATCCTACATCCTAATGTCCCACCATCCTACTGTCCCAACATCCTACTGTCCCACCATCCTAATGTCCCACCATCCTACATCCTACTGTCCCACCATCCTACTGTCCCACCATCCTACCTCCTACTGTCCCACCATCCTACATCCTATTGTCCCACTATCCTACATCCTACTGTCCCTACATCCTACTGTCCCTACATCCTACTGTCCCACCATCCTACTGTCCCACCATCCTACATCCTACTGTCCCTACATCCTACTGTCCCTACATCCTACTGTCCCACCATCCTACTGTCCCACCATCCTACCTCCTACTGTCCCACCATCCTACATCCTATTGTCCCACCATCCTACATCCTACTGTCCCTACATCCTACTGCCCCTACATCCTGCTGTCCCACCATCCTACATCCTACTGTCCCACCACCCTACATCCTACTGTCCCACCATTCTACTGTCCCACCATCTTACTGTCCTACCATCCTACATCCTACTGTCCCACCATCCTACTGTTCTCCTTCCTACATCCTACTGTCCCACCATCCTACATCCTACTGTCCCACCATCCTACTGTCCTACATCCTATATGCTACTGTCCTACCCTCCTACAACCTACTGTCCCACCATTCTTCTGTCCTACATCCTTCTGTCCTACCGTCTTACTGTCCTCCCAACATACATCCTTCTCTTCTACCATCCTACATCCTACTGTCTGATATTCTACATTCTACTGTCCTACACCCTACTGTCCTACCCTCCTACATCCTACTGTCCCACCATACTTCTGTCCTACATCCTTCTGTCCTACCATCTTACTGTCCTACATCTCACTGTCCTCCCAACATACATCCTTCTGTCCTACCATCCTACATCCTACTGTCTGATATTCTACATTCTTCTGTCCTACACCCTACTGTCCTACATCCTATATCCTATTGTCCTACATACTAGTGTCCTACATCCCACCATCCTGCATTTTACCAAGTTAAACCCATCCTGTGTCTCAGGTCCTTCATTTAGTCCAGCCTTACACAGAGACTCAAGAGTTCATCAGTCAGTTTGTCCTTGTTTTTTTTTAGATGTTAATGAGCTTGTTAATCAGAGACGCTCTGTCTGCTCCCAAAATATTAATCAATCAATCGATTTTATTCATAAAGCCCAATATCACAAATCACAATTTGCCTCACAGGGCTTTACAGCATATGACTTCCCTCTGTCCTTATGACCCTCACAGCTGATCAGGAAAAACTCCCCCAAAAAAAACCCTTTAACGGGGAAAAAAATTGTAGAAACCTCAGGAAGAGCAACTGAGGAGGGATCCCTCTTCCAGGATGGACAGATGTGCAATAGATGTCGTACAGAACAGATCAACATAATAAATTAACAGTAATCCGCATGACACAATGAGACAGAGAGAGAGAGAGAGATGCAGGACAGACGGTAATGACAGTAGCTTACAACAACATTAATGAAAGTAATAATACTATAATTATAGTTCTGGCTACTGTGGTACAATATGTTGAAAGTATATATTAATATCTGGCAGTATACATATGTGACAATAATCATATGTGTATAATAACAGTAGAAGTATGACTAATGATAACAGCAGCAGCAGGAGGCATCTGGCAGGACCACGGCAGCAGCACAACCACACACGTCACGCTATCCAGGCACCGCTGTGATATGAGTTAATCTGAGAGACAGTGGAGCACAAAGGCTCCGGAGAAGAAGCCGAGTTAGTGACATGCAGTACAGCCGAGTTAGCAAGATGCAGTAATAGAATACGAGAGAAGGAGAGAAGGTGCCCGGTGTATTATAGGGGGTCCTCCGGCAGACTAAGCCTAAGTCAGCCTAACTAGGGGCTGGTACAGGGCAAGCCTGAGCCAGCCCTAACTATAAGCTTTATCAAAGAGGAAAGTCTTAAGTCTAGTCTTAAATGTGGAGACGGTGTCTGTGTGTGTAGTCTGTCTACAGCCTGGTTGTGGCGGTGACGTTAAGTCATGTGACTGTGGTGTAGTCTGTTTACGGCCTGGTTGTGGCGGTGACTAGGGTTGGGTACCGTTCATAATTGAACCGATACGGTCCCGGTATCTGGAATTCAGTACCGGTACCAAACCCTACATTATTTCAGTACTTTTTAACCCTTTGGGCCCTAGGACTTTTTGGGGTATTTTTACTGCCTTTTACTTTTAAGCTCATATCACAGTCATTCTAAAGGCTACATACACATGCTATATCTTGTTTTTTTTTTCAGAACAATCTGGGCTAACCAGATTTGCCATCATTTCATGTTCTTCTATGTGCCTGTATTTTATATTAATTTTTATATCAATGAAAATAACAAATCTGTGTGCCTAAATTCTTACATTTTTACATGTATCTCACCATAGCAAGTTGGAAGTTGACATATTGTGCCATATATGAAGAGGGGAGACTCTGGAATCTGGCAATATAAGAACCATGATGCTGGGACATTCTGTCACTTCACAGTTGTCCAAAACATGTGGGTTGTGCCAGGCGGACATGATTGCCAGTATTTTTTCATTATTGCAAGAAATTCCATTGACTCATTCACAAGTCAAAAATGTGTTTTATCTGAAAGAAACATGCAGTATTTACATCTAAGATCATAGAAAAATAGTCAACCAAGTGCAATGATGTCCTCCAAGATAATATTTGTTCTTCAGTTTCAGTTATATATTGGGGAGACATTTTGGGCATTGGTGGGGGGGGGGCACGTGTCCCCCTCAATGTATATGGTGACTATGGCCCTGTCAGCATGCATAATTAAGCTGCAGTTGGGTGTGCAAAGGTGAAATGCGCTTGTCTTGTCATACAAAGTTTGATGGAGTGTCAACTGGACAATATGGAGATATTTGCATCTTGAAACCTGGACTACAAATGTGGATAGACAGGGAGAAACACACACAAGCCTAAGACGTGGTAAGATACGATATTCCTCACTATATGAAGTGACTGATAACAAGATACAGTACAGGCCAAAAGTTTGGACACACCTTCTCATTCAATGCGTTTTCTTTATTTTCATGACTATTTACATTGTAGATTCTCACTGAAGGCATCAAAACTATGAATGAACACGTGTGGAGTTATGTACTTAACAAAAAAAGGTGAAATAACTGAAAACATGTTTTATATTCTAGTTTCTTCAAAATAGCCACCCTTTGCTCTGATTACTGCTTTGCACACTCTTGGCATTCTCTCTATGAGCTTCAAGAGGTAGTCCCCTGAAATGGTTTTCCAACAGTCTTGAAGGAGTTCCCAGAGGTGTTTAGCACTTGTTGGCCCCTTTGCCTTCACTCTGCGGTCCAGCTCACCCCAAACCATCTCGATTGGGTTCAGGTCCGGTGACTGTGGAGGCCAGGTCATCTGCCGCAGCACTCCATCACTCTCCTTCTTGGTCAAATAGCCCTTACACAGCCTGGAGGTGTGTTTGGGGTCATTGTCCTGTTGAAAAATAAATGATCGTCCAACTAAACGCAAACCGGATGGGATGGCATGTCGCTGCAGGATGCTGTGGTAGCCATGCTGGTTCAGTGTGCCTTCAATTTTGAATAAATCCCCAACAGTGTCACCAGCAAAACACCCCCACACCATCACACCTCCTCCTCCATGCTTCACAGTGGGAACCAGGCATGTGGAATCCATCCGTTCACCTTTTCTGCGTCTCACAAAGACACGGCGGTTGGAACCATAGATCTCAAATTTGGACTCATCAGACCAAAGCACAGATTTCCACTGGTCTAATGTCCATTTCTTGTGTTTCTTGGCCCAAACAAATCTCTTCTGCTTGTTGCCTCTCCTTAGCAGTGGTTTCCTAGCAGCTATTTGACCATGAAGGCCTGATTGGCGCAGTCTCCTCTTAACAGTTGTTCTAGAGATGGGTCTGCTGCTAGAACTCTGTGTGGCATTCATCTGGTCTCTGATCTGAGCTGCTGTTAACTTGCGATTTCTGAGGCTGGTGACTCGGATGAACTTATCCTAATCAGAGCAAAGGGTGGCTATTTTGAAGAAACTAGAATATAAAACATGTTTTCAGTTATTTCACCTTTTTTTGTTAAGTACATAACTCCACATGTGTTCAGTCATAGTTTTGATGCCTTCAGTAAGAATCTACAATGTAAATAGTCATGAAAATAAAGAAAACGCATTGAATGAGAAGGTGTGTCCAAACTTTTGGCCTGTACTGTATGTATCATGGGTTGTAAAGAAATTCGTCAGGTTTTTATTTTGTAGGCAATTGATCTGGATTTATAGCGTGATGGGATGACAGCACAATGATGTGTGTGCTCCTGCGCTTTCATGTGATATGCGTGGCATTTCTGTGCGAGGCTGCATTCGCGAGTAATCCATCCAAGAGTAATGTGTGTGCAAAGCTGTATGAAAGCTCTGTTATACATAATTTTATTGTAAATTTATCAGTTTTTTTTCGCTGTGAAAACATTGGATTACTGGCAAGTGCTCTGTCTTGTTGGAAAGCTACAGTTCTGCTGTTTCCGCTGATATGCATGGCTTCTCGCTATGATGCACGGTCGCAGAGAAAATCCACAGAGAAGAACGGATGTGAATTTGGACGTACTATGCGTCGTTTGGGCCCAAAGTCTAAACTTCTCATTTTCAACATTTTATTGAGAACATTTAGGAACAGTGCTGCACGTTAACTTTTGTCTGCACATTTTTTTTGTCACCATTGTTGCTGAGTCTGAGGTGCAAGTCATGCGCTCTCGCTCCGCCTCCACCTCAGGTACCGAAATTTGGCACCGATTCATTTTAAGTGAATCGGTACTTGGTAGTACCGACGTGAATTGGTACCAAGTACAAAAAGTACCAAGTTAAGTCATGCGATCGTGGTGTAGTTCGTTTATGGTCTGGTTGTGGTGGTGACGTTAAGTCATGCGACCGTGGTGTAGTTCGTTTATGGTCTGGTTGTGGCAGTCACGTTAAGTCATGCGACCGTGGTGTAGTTCGTTTATGGTCTGGTTGTGGCAGTCACGTTAAGTCATGCGACCGTGGTGTAGTTCGTTTACAGTCTGGTTGTGGCAGTCACGTTAAGTCAACAAACAACAAACAGTTGTGATTTGTTCTCCACGGAACCACAGCTCCTGATGATGTCTCTCAGTCACATGACTCCACCAGCTGCTACCGCTTCCTGTCACACCATCACATATGATCCATCATGGCTGCGCCCCGAACACGGGCCGGCTCCTAACCTTTGGATTGACACCTTACAGAGCCAATAGGAGGTCCCGGTGCTGCTGTGGCCTCAACAACCAATCACACCCTGAGCTGAAGGAACATATGTCCTGTAGTTTAGAGGTATTTAAAGAGCCTCTGATTGGCTGACCTCACTCAGAGGATTGTGGGTGTTGTAGTCAGTGGCAGCAGAGTTTAACCCCTTGTTGTCCCCACAGATTGTTGTCCATGTAGAGACATGTCCACCTGACCTGTCCTCTGCTGTTGTCAGGGTAACAACAGTGTTTCATCATTGTCAGATCCTGAACTCACAAAATCTAGTTCTAGCATGACCTCTCGGACCTGCCAGTGCTCCCAGTGCTCCCAGTTCTACCAGTGCTCCCAGTTGTAACAGCTCTCCCAGAGTTACCAGTACCCCCAGTGCTCCCAGTTCTCCCAGTTCTCGCAGTCCTCCCGGTTCTCCCAGTTCTCCCAGTCCTTGCAGTCCTCCCAGTGCTCCCAGTCCTCCCAGTGCTCTGACTCAGTGACTGGAGCTCTGACAGTGATTCTGACTCTCAGATCAGATCATGTATCAACATGGACTAAAAAAGGAACAGGTCCAGGTCTCAGTCTGGGGACGACTGGGGTACACGGAGACTTGAGGAGGAGCTTCAGGTGGATATTATGGGATGTTTAGAGGAAGAAGACCTTGAAGAGGAAACTGAGGAGCTGCTGTTTGTGTCGATGAACATTTGGTGTTTGAAGTGTTTGTGTTTCATCTGCAGAGTCTCAGTCAGGATAAAGCGTTCCAGTCCGACAGCGAAGGGAACCAGGTCTTTAAAGGACACAGGTGAGACCAGGACAGGTGTGGACCTGATCAACGACTTTGTTCCATTAAGGTGAAGATGAAGCAGTGAACTGGTTTAATGTGAGTGTGGTGACAGGATGAATCTGTATTCATTAATTCATTCACAACCAACCAAACTCTGACTGATTCAGCTCAGACTTCATATTTCCTCCAATCAGAGAATAGAGAACAGACTCCGCCCCCGTCAGACAAAAATCTGAACAAACACCAAACTTCGGATTCTTTAAAACTCTGCGAGATCTGGTCTGGTCTGGTTTGGTCTAATCTGGTCTGATCTGATCTGGTCTGATCTGATCTGATCTGATCTAATCTGGTCAGGTCTGATCTGGTCTGGTCTGGTCTAATGTCAGTCTGAATGTGTCTCAGGAACTTGGTGACGTGTCTCTCGGTGTCGATAGACGGGATGCTCCTCCTCTCCGGGTCACATGATGAAACTGTCCGACTGTGGGACATTCAGAGCAAACAGAGCATCCGGTGCCTCGCCCACAAAGGTAAGCCACGCCCCCTTGTCATGACATCAACAATAACAAAATCAAAACAACCAATCAGACGGTGTTCAGACCGTCAAGATAAAATAAAACTTTATTCATCATGACAGACGTCGTTCCACAGCTGCACACATGATAGATAACAAACAGGTACACAACAACATAAACAGGTACACAACAACATACAGGTGAACGAAATATAAACAGGTACACAACAACATACAGGTGAACGAAATATAAACAGGTACACAACAACATACAGGTGAACGAAATATAAACAGGTACACAAAAACATACAGGTGAACAAAATATAAACAGGTAAACAACAGCATATAGGTAAGTGACATACGAAGAGGTAAACGGGTCACTAATTGTTAACTTGTGTCTCAGAGGATCAAAGATCGATCAGTAATTATCAATAATAATAATTTGACTGAATTTAAATGAACTGATCAAAGGTCAGCTCATCTGTCCTCACTGACCCATCACTCTGTCGGTCTGATGACAATTATTACACATGATGATGATGATGATGATTAAGCTCCTCTGAATATGTCACATAAAGACTTTATAGTAACGTGATGTTACTATAACCAGCACTGCTTACAGTAAACTGCACCATGGACACTTTATGGACACCATAATAAGCATAACTGTCCCCCATGTTGTTGTGTATTTGCACATTCAATATTCACTTTGCACTAAATATGTTCACTTTAACCCACTGCTCACTTTTTATTCACTGCTCATTATTACTATTATTATTATTTAGTGCTGTTTCTTGTATTTTTGTACTCTATTTGCATGCCTAGTTTGTTTTTACGTTTTTTAAATATTGAAATCTTTAATCTGACTCTTTCCCCTTGACTGCTGTACCACTGGAATTTCTCAATTGTGGGATCAATAAAGGTGTATCTTATCTTAAAAACTGACGACGTCTGTCTGAAATGTTTCATGTCTGTTTCCTGGTCACAGGTGATTGACTGAAACAGACTATTACATCATGTTTAAATCATGTGTTTAATAACGTGAATCATGTGTTCAGCGTGTGACTCGTGAATAGTGTGTGAATCATGTGTTCAGCGTGTGACTCGTGAATAGTGTGTGAATCACGTGTGCAGTGTGTGACTTGTGTTCAGTGTGTGAATTGTGTTTTCAGTGTGTGACTCGTGAATAGTGTGTGACTCATGTGATCAGCGTGCGAATCATGTGAATAGTGTGTGACTCGTGATCAGCATGCGAATCGTGTACAGCGTGTGAATCATGTGTTCAGCGTGTAAATCATGTGTTCAGTGTTTGAATCATGTGTTCAGTGTGTGAATCATGAGATTAGTGTGCGAATCGTGTTGAGGGTATGAATCATGTGATCAGCATGTGAATCATGTGTTCAGTGTGTAAATCATGTGATCATCATATGAATCGTGATCCGTGTGTAAATCATTGTGTTCAGTGTGTGAATCGCGTTCAGCGTATGAATCATGTGTTCGGTGTGTAAATCATGTGATCATATGAATCGTGTTCAGTGTGTGACTCGTGTGTTCAGTGTGTAAATCATGTGATCATCATATGAATCGTGTTCAGTGTGTGACTCGTGATCAGCATGTGAATCATGTGTTCAGTGTGTAAATCATGTGATTAGTTTGTGAATCATGTATTCAGTATGCCAATCATGTTCAGTGTGTTAATCATGTGTTCAGCTTGTGAATCGTGATCAGCGTGTGAATCGTGTTCAGTGTGTGAATCGTGTTCAGTATGCCAATCATGTTCAGCGTGTGAATCATGTGTTCAGTGTATAAATCATGTGATCATCATATGAATCGTGATCAGTGTGTGAATTATGTGTTCAGCTTGTGAATCATGTGATCAGTATGCCAATAATGTTCAGCGTGTGAATCATGTGTTCAGCTTGTGAATCGTGATCAGCGTGTGAATCATGTGTTCAGTGTGTAAATCATGTGATCCTCATATGAATCGTGTTCAGTGTGTGAATCATGTGTTCAGCTTGTGAATCATGTGATCAGTATGCCAATCATGTTCAGCGTGTGAATCATGTGTTCAGTGTTTAAATCATGTGTTCATCAAATGAATCGTGTTCAGTGTGTGAATCATGTGTTCAGTATGCCAATCATGTTCAGTGTGTGAATCGTGTTCAGTGTGTAAATCATGTGTTCAGCGTGTGAATCATGTGTTCATCATATGAATCGTGTTCAGTGTGTGAATCATGTGTTCAGCGTGTGAATCTCGTGTTCAGTGTGTGAATCGTGTTCAGTGTGTTAATCATGTGTTCAGCGTGTGAATCGTGTTCAGTGTGTAAATCATGTGATCCTCATATGAATCGTGTTCAGTGTGTGAATCATGTGTTCAGCTTGTGAATCATGTGATCAGTATGCCAATCATGTTCAGCGTGTGAATCATGTGTTCAGTGTTTAAATCATGTGTTCATCAAATGAATCGTGTTCAGTGTGTGAATCATGTGTTCAGTATGCCAATCATGTTCAGTGTGTGAATCGTGTTCAGTGTGTAAATCATGTGTTCAGCGTGTGAATCATGTGTTCATCATATGAATCGTGTTCAGTGTGTGAATCATGTGTTCAGCGTGTGAATCTCGTGTTCAGTGTGTGAATCGTGTTCAGTGTGTTAATCATGTGTTCAGCGTGTGAATCGTGTTCAGTGTGTAAATCATGTGATCCTCATATGAATCATGTTCAGTGTGTGAATCATGTGTTCAGCTTGTGAATCATGTGATCAGTATGCCAATCATGTTCAGCGTGTGAATCATGTGTTCACTGTGTAAATCATGTGATCATCACATGAATCGTGTTCAGTATATGAATCATGGGTTCAGCTTGTGAATCGTGTTCAGTGTGGGAATCATGTGTTCAGTGTGTAAATCATGTGATCATCATATGAATCGTGTTTAGTGTGTGAATCATGTGTTCAGCTTGTGAATCGTGATCAGTATGCCAATCATGTTCAGCGTGTGAATCATGTGTTCACTGTTTAAATCATGTGATCATCACATGAATCGTGTTCAGTATATGAATCATGTGTTCAGCTTGTGAATCATGTGATCAGCGTGTGAATCGTGTTCAGCGTATGAATCATGTGTTCAGTGTGGGAATCGTGTGTAAATCATGTGATCATCATATGAATTGTGTTCACTGTTGTGAATCATGTTCAGCTTTTGAATCATGTGATCAGCGTGTGAATCATGTGATCAGCGTGTGAATCATGTGTTCAGTGTGTGAATCGTGTTCAGTGTGTGAATCATGTGATCATCATATGAATCGTGATAAGTGTGCAAATCGTGTTCAGCTTGTGAATCGTGTTCAGTATGCCAATCATGTTCAGCGTGTGAATCATGTGTTCAGTGTGTAAATCATGTGATCATCATATGAATCGTGTTCAGTGTGGCAATCATGTGTTCAGTATGGGAATCATTTGTTCAGCGTGTGAATCATGTGATCAGTAGGGCTGTAGTCTCCTGGTCGACTAGTCGATTATTTGGTCGCTACGCTCTCATCCGACCAAATTCTCATTAGTCGAATAATCGCCGTGTTACTTTCATAAGGAGAAAAGTGCTACATCAACAGCTTTCCAGGATTAATCAATTATTTCCTGCGGCGGGGGGACAGGCTAAGTTACCTGTGAAAATGGGAGTGTTTTCAAAACACCTCCGTTGCTTACAGAAAGTTGGACGTGCCCACCGTCACGCTCAGTGTCACAGTGACGCAGACCTCCTGTCTGTCTCTGTAAGCTGACACCATTTCCCTCAGTGGAAACGAAGCTTGTATTTACTTGTATTTCACAGATAAGAAACAATAAATTGTGAAGACAGTAAAGCCTCCACTAAAATAGCATTTTAAGTCGTGTGTGATTTATCCTACAGAGATTTATCCTGGCTTCATATGAGCAGAGGAAATCTCTGCTCGTCGCTAGGCTAATGTATACCATGTAAAATGGTTGTTATCAGGTCAGCTGATCAGCTTCAGTTACCATGGTGATTCACTGATTCATTTTTCACCCTTGTACAACAGTAACCAGTCTGATTCCAAAAACAAAATCATCACTGATTCATTCAGCTATGAGTGAATGATTATTGATGTATTGATCAGGTGTAGATCAGGCTGAATCAGACTTGATGTCAATCAGCAGGTGATGTCACCTCTGTGAAGATGTCATCTTTCGTCTCTGCTGCAGCTGGTTTATTAATGAAGCTCCGTCTCTGAGGAGCTTTTACTTCCTTCTCATTCATAATAACTGATGCTGCTGCGGCCGACAGGAACATGAAGAAGAAACGCCTTGCCGTGATCATGACTGGCACTTTGTAATTAACCAAATCCTCTCTGAGCTGACGGCATCCTCACTTCAAACGGACTGTCACGAGATGATAATCCCTCCTCTGGCTGGACGGATGGACTCGTGGTTGTCCCCCGCCTCCATCACGTTTCCGGACAAAGAACCAGACTGAGTGTTAAAAGAAAAAACTTCATCCTCCGTGACGGCAGCTCTTCAAACCGATTCGTCTCAGCTGAGCAGATTCAGCTGCTCCACATTCGTCTGCACATCAGGAAACCGCCAGAGGAACCACGACCGGTTCCTTTAAATCACATTCTGAGTGTGTGGGGATGGAACACCACCACAGAGACAGAGCTGTGACATCACTGAAACAGTGGAACATTACCGACTTCTGTTCTGGACATCTCAACCGCGTCTCATCAGATGAACCACTGCTGATGAAGATCATGTGACATGACTGAAAGCTTCAGGACTGTAAACGACCCTCAGACAGACAGAACGTCACAGTGATGTCACAGAGACAATCAGTAAAATAAAATGTTTCAGGTTCATTAAAGTCTCTTTAAAACATTAATAATTAACATGTTACAGAACAAAATGTGTTCGTCTGAAAGTTAGAATTTAAACTAAGTGAAAATCGTGTGTGTGGAAACAGACTGTGGTTCAGTTCAGCGCTCTGATGTCTGCGGTGTCTTTGTCTACTCAGGTGTCAAAATCCCTCCTGCTGTTACTTAGAAACGTCCGTCAACAGCATAACAGCTCCGCCCCCTCACTCTACGACCAGCTGTGACAACAGCTGAATCGCACTGAAAACACTTGAACACTACACACTGCCTTAAACAACCTGACTGAGGACGCCTGAAGGCAACACGGGTGTTTTCTGTCGAAGTATCTGCAGTTTGCTGGCAGCTCTTCAGCCTCAAACACTCTCGGTCTGATTGATGTGTTCAGATATATCTAGCTGATGTGTTCAGGTGTGTTAAAATATGTCCAGGTGATGTGTGTTAAGATATATCCAGGTGATGTGTTCAGGTATGTCCAGGTGATGTGTTCAGGTGTGTTAAGATATGTCCAGGTGATGTGTTCAGGTGTGTTATGATATGTCCAGGTGATGTGTTCAGCTGTGTTATGATATGTCCAGGTGATGTGTTCAGGTGTCTTAAGATATATCCAGGTGATGTGTTCAGGTGTCTTAAAATGTGTTGAGGTGTGTTGAGATATAGCCAGGTGATGTGTTCAGGTGTGTTAAGATATATCCAGGCGGTGCGTTCAGATGTGTGAAGATATATCCAGGCGGTGCGTTCAGGTGCGTCAGTGTAAACAGTACTGCAGATCTCAGAGTATCTGCAGTGTGCTGGCAGCTCTTGAGCCTCAGACACTCTCAGGCTGAGTTATGTCTCCATGTTGGACCACGTTGGGACCATTAGTGTGATTCCAGCAGCTGCAGCCAAGCAGACAATCAATATTTGTAATTTAGTGGGAGATAATTGGCCCGTATCTAAAACCACAACAAGCAGGAAGTGGACTCGGACTCTGCGGTCCAATCCTTCGCCATCTGTCTCAGAACCTGTTTTATTTCCCTGATTTACAACATGTTGGACATGTCCGAGACAGAACCTTTTAACCACGTGATCAACCCGACCTGAAATGACCTGACACAACATTTAGGAGAGAGGACACATCAGAGGACAGAGGACATGCCTCAGTGTCCAGCCTGCAGTCTGAAACATATAAATTCATATTTAAAGAAGAATGGAGAAGTTTAGTCTTCAGCAGCTCGTCTCTGTCTCCCTGTGAATTAATCATGGTGTGCAGTCGTGGCGAGCGTGGTTTCAATGACCCGCTCTGATGTTAATGGAGGGGGTGTGTCCTCAGCCTGTTTGTGTCCTCGTCTCATGGCGTGGTGTGTTCACTGTGTCACAGCTGCAGGTGAACTTCCTGCTTCACCTCACAGTTTGGCGTTTCAAACCATAAATTAGAAATTATAGTTTTGTTTTTATCTGACACAATCGAAAGCACTACAGTAAATTAAATAAGTCAGATGACGAAGAACAGGAAGACCACTGATGAAGGTGGAGAAGAGTGACGGCCCCAAACAGCCTCCCTGTGGAACGCTACATTTTCATGTTTAAACATGTGAAAACAACCCCATCATAAAACACGTCAGCAGCCCGCGGTGTGTTCAGGAACTTTGAATATTCATCCAGCCATTTATCATCCGATTGGTCCGAATTTTTATTCACTGCGTTTTTACTGATGTTTCACTGTTTGTTCCATCTGTGATGTCACCACTCGTGTCACACCTCAGTGTTTGATTCTGTCTCAGCGCTGACAGATTTTATCAGACCACAGAGGGACAGAAGACAGGAGACAGAGGGATGTGGTGTTCTGTAAACCCTACACCTCTGAGACAAATTGATCTGTGATATTGATCTTTACAAATAAATAAAGTTGAAGTTTTTTTGGGGGTTCCTTCAGTCATTACTGCAATCTTCATGTTCCTCTGCGGCTCACCATCACGCTGGAGGAAATCTGAGGGAATTTTTTTTTCTTTTTTTTTTTTTTTTCTAAAGATATTTTTTGGGGCATTTTTAAGCCTTTAATCGATAGAACAGATGAGCGTGAAGGGGGGAGAGAGAGAGAGGGAAAGACATGCAGCAAAGGGCCACAGGCCGGAGCTGAACCCGGGCCGCTGCAGCAGCAGCCTTGTATATCTTGTATATGGGGCGCCTGCTCTACCACTAAGCCACCGACGTCCCGTGAGGGAATTTCTTTGAAAAGTCCCCAGACAGGAAGTTGGAGTGACAGCAGGCGGAGACTGGCGTTGCAGGTGGAGGCTGGCGCAGCAGGCGGGGGCTGGCGCAGCAGCAGGCGGAGGCTGGCGCAGCAGGCGGTGGAGGCTGGCGTTGCAGGCGGAGGCTGGCGCAGCAGCAGGCAGGGGCTGGCGCAGCAGCAGGCGGAGGCTGGCGCAGCAGCAGGCGGAGGCTGGCGCAGCAGCAGGCAGGGGCTGGCGCAGCAGCAGGCAGGGGCTGGCGCAGCAGCAGGCGGAGGCTGGTGCCGGGAGAGTCCACAGACTAAAATCAGCTGTGTTGTGGAGGTTGTGTCTGTGTGAGCGGCAAGAAATTGACTCCCACATGTTGTTCCCTTGCTGTGATTGTTGGCATGAAATGAGTCTGGCAGAGCGTCACCGTATCACCGTGTGAGCTCGTCACCGCGTCAGCTGGCTGCTGACTTACTAATTGAAGGCGGAGCTCCGAGCTGTCTGTGTCTTTGGCGACTTTCTGATGAGCTGCTGAAGCTGCAGGTTCATTTCTTTATGTCACACAGGTCATTCATGTTCCAACATACGTTCAATTGTAAAACCTGTGTTGGCAAGCTGTGGACATTTAAAGCACGAATTCTTCCAGAACAACCTGTGGCTAAAAGACTGGTCACAGCGGATTGACACCGTGAAAAGTTCCTGCAGGACAGACACCACCATCTCATCCAACCATGACACACGTCAGGTTATCAACATGCTGAACGTGTTCCTGTTAGCAGCATCTGCTCCACTGCTAACATCACGAGTCATCTAATAAATTATATCATTTAAAATTTTACTATGAGTCCCAGTGGAAAAAAACCCTAAAAACCATTAGATAAGGAGTATAAGTAGTCACATAGTATTGCACATGCTCGGCCTCCGTACAAGACAAAATAACATCTCCAGGTGTCAGCGACCAAACATCGTTACCCTTGACTTCATGAATTTGGAAATTGTTTGACCTCAAAATCGTAATCGCGATCACCAGACGATTAATTGCACAGCTTTAGTCTGAACTCTGTCGAGTGTCGTCGTGACTCGTCAGGTGACCTGGGTAAGATCAGCTGTGATGACGCTGAGTGAAGATCTTATTATTGTTTATTTGTTTACTCTGCGGTCGGTCGGACCATTCAGTCGGGTTGGACCGGTCGGCTGAATACCAACGACATCTCGCTGCAGCACGAAGAACCTTTCAATCAAATCTGAAGATGCAGAGTCTTTAAAGGGACACTTTGCTCATTTTAACTAGCTCTGATGATTGTTTCCCTCCGTCCAATACAGAACCCTAACCCATCCAGAGACGAGGCCCCGCCCACCACCTCTTTGTCTCAGACCCTGACAGAGACCTGATCAAACGTTAAAACTAATCAGAGCTGATCGCTTATCAATAACAATTCTGTTTCTGTGTGTAGGACAGGACTGTACTGAGACACTGGGCTGTAGGACAGAGGACCGTACTGAGACACTGGGCTGTAGGACAGAGGACCGAACTTAGACAGCGGGCTGTAGGACAGAGGACCGAACTTAGACAGCGGGCTGTCCTGTGGGGGGTGTTGTCTGGTTGATCCTCGCTGCCTTCAGACTCTGCCCTCATCCTCACTCAGCTGATGTCACAGGTCAGCTGACAGCCGATTAGTCTGTCGAAGGTTTTGTTGGATTGATCAGGTCACCAAGTTGCTCCAACAGGAAATGACTCATCTCCGACGTCTCAATAATCAATCAATAAACAGTTTGGTCAGCTCATTGATCGACGCTGATGTTCTTGTCTGACCTGCACTCCTGTGCTAGACTGAATTATTACCTGAATGACATCACTTCCGTTCTGTGTATTCAGGTCCAGTGACGAACGCCGTCATCATGGCAGCTCCCGCTAACATGTTCCTGCCCGACAGTCGGCCCGCCGTCCCTCTGCCACGCTTCAGCCGACACCTGCATGCCTCTGAGGGCGGAGAATCCGGAGAGGTGTGTGTCCGACTTGGACGCTACACACAGGTGAGTCATCAGGAGGTGACGTCGGGAGGCGTGATGATGACGTTCAATCGGCACTTTATTTTGTAAACTGGAAGCTGAGCTGTAGAAGAGACCGCTTGTCTTCAGAGAACCATCAATAAATCAATAATCAATACATCCACTGTGGAGCTGATTGGTTAACGATCAGTTAGCTCAGTGGTTTTCAACTTGGGGTCGAGCCCCCTGGGAGGCCACAGGATATGTGTGAGGGGGCAGGACATCCTGAACAGACAGGAAGCACTGGGCTAACTGCTAACATGCTAACTCCAATAAGGCTGAATTCTTATTTTGAAAGGTTCTTCCTGTGTTTTCAGGAGGAGGAGGAGACTTACCTGCAGAAAGCTGATAGGCTGAACTCTCTGATGAATGCTGTGACCGACAAGGTGAGAGGGGACGGGGCTTCACACGTCCATCGGGTGTCACCTGATGGACGTGTGACTCAGGTGACTCAGGTCAGACTTGGTCAGGTGACTCAGGTCAGATGAGGTCAGGTGACTCAGGTCAGATGAGGTCAGGTGACTCAGGTCAGATGTGTGTGTGCATGTGCGTGTGTTTGGTCACCTGATGACTCAGTGTGCGGAAACATGGCGGACTGGGACCAGTGAAACCAGTGTAACATGTTATGCTTGTTGTGTTTCAGTCCGTGTTTGGTGACGGCGAGAACACGAAGGTTCGAGTTGCTGAGCTTGAAGAGGAAGTTCAGACTCTGAAGAAGGTCAACAAAGATCTGTATGACTTCTCCAGTCAGCTGCTCACCAAACCCACATAAACACACACACACACACACACACAGATGTACACATATATTTGAACACTCTGTGATGGTTTACGTTGTCAGAAAATAAAGGACTTTTGTTTTGGTAGTACTTCCTGTCTGGTGTGTGTTGCCTCAGCTCACTGTGGTTTCAGGTGTCGCACACGTTTCCTTCCTGCTGCTCCACACGCTCTCATGTTTATGACGCCGCCACCGGAGGCATAACGTGTTCTGGTTGTCTGCCTGTCCCTCTTTCCGTCCGTCCGTCCCTCTGTCTGCCTGTCCGAACACTTTGAGCGAGTTTCTTTTAAATTTCACACAAACGTCCACTGAAGAATAAACTGATCAGATTTTTGGAGGTCAAAGGTCAGTGTGACCTCACAGAACATGTTTTTGTCCTTAACTGAAGAATTCATTCACTAATTCTGACTAAACTTGACACAAATGTCTAACAGGATAAAATAATGAAGGTCAAAAGGTCAAAGGTCAGCTTGACTGTGACATCATCATGTTTTAACGTCATATCTCAGGAACAGAAGGGGAGACATTTGGTCAGATACTGAATTGGTGACTCTAATCTTGAAACTGTGCTGATTGTATAGATCTTCTGTGTGTGAAGCATCCATGTTTTCACTGACATGGATGGAGACTGTCAGAGACACTGGACTGGTGGGCGGAGTCATACAACCACAGGGTGGACTGGTGGGCGGAGTCATACAACCACAGGGTGGACTGGTGGGCGGAGTCATACAACCACAGGGTGGACTGGTGGGCGGAGTCATACAACCACAGGGTGGACTGGTGGGCGGAGTCATACAACCACAGGGTGGACTGGTGGGCGGAGTCATACAACCACAGGGTGGACTGGTGGGCGGAGTCATACAACCACAGGGTGGACTGGTGGGCGGAGTCATACAACCACAGGGTGGACTGGTGGGCGGAGTCATACAACCACAGGGTGGACTGGTGGGCGGAGTCATACAACCACAGGGTGGACTGGTGGGTGGAGTCATACAACCACAGGGTGGACTGGTGGGTGGAGTCATACAACCACAGGGTGGACTGGTGGACGGAGTCATACAACCACAGGGTGGACTGGTGGACGGAGTCATACAACCACGGGGTGGGCTGGTGGACGGAGTCATACAACCACGGTGGGCTGGTGGACGGAGTCATACAACCACGGTTGGCAGAGTCACAACCATGGGACAGGCTGGTGGAGGGAGTCATACAACCACGGAGCAGTGGGCAGAGTCATGATCACTTATGATACGGTTAAGCGAGCAGACGATGGCAGAGGATTTAGTGAAAGTCAGAGTGGGCGTGTCCTCGGCACCTCAGAATTAGACGTTTACAGGAAGCAGGTCCTTGCTTGCGGATGTTGCCATGTTGCACCGCCATTGAACTGTTTGTTTGTGAAATCGCTGCAGTGACACGACTGCTGTCGGACACGCACAGTGACCTGGAGACATCGCGGCTCTGTCACAGACTCCGCCTCTTCCAGTCCGTCTTCAGTTCCATTCAGCTCCACGTCTCCACCATCGCTTCGCCCCCATCGACTGCATCACTGAAATCACATCCTGAGCTGTGACTCATCATCATCGCCACCATCATCGGCATCAGATCCACCCATGACTCCTCCCTCTGCATCAAAGCATCGTAATTATTATTATTATTATTATTATCAATATTGTTATTATCAATAGTGTCTGAACAATGTGAGTAATATGTTGCTTAGTTATCAATTTAGCACACCTTTTGATGACTGAAAGACCTCTCTCCATAACTGCAACAGTTCTTTCAATGTGCTTTGACCACTTCAATCTACAGTCTAATGTCACTCCGAGAAGTTTGGTTTCCTCAACCTGTTCTACGGGCACTCCCTGTATAGACAAATTTAGCTTTGGTTTATCTTTGAGTCTGAAATTAATCCAAATACTATACTTTTTGTTTTTGCTAGATTAAGAGCCAACTTATTGCTCAGTGCCCATCTCACAACTAATTGTAGTTCCCTACTCAGAGAACTTGACAATTCTCCAATTGATGCTGCCGGTAAGTATATTGTTATGTCATCTGCATACATAACTGCTCTTGCTTGATGTAGAACAAAAGGAAGGTCGTTAGTGAAGATAGAGTACAATGATGGACCCAAGCAGCTGCCCTGTGGTACACCACATGGTAGCTCTTTTACATCTGAAAAACTCCCATTATAAAATACATATTGTTTCCTGTTTGATAACTGTCAAACCAGCTTATTGTATGAGATGCAAATTTGTAACATTTCAATTTATCCAACAGCAGTTTCAATCAATCAATCAATTTTATTTATAAAGCCCAATATCACAAATCACAATTTGCCTCACAGGGCTTTACAGCATACGACATCCCTCTGTCCTTTGGACCCTCACAGCTGATCAGGAAAAACTCCCCAAAAAACCCTTTAACAGGGAAAAAAACGGTAGAAACCTCAGGAAGAGCAACTGAGGAGGGATCCCTCTTCCAGGACGGACAGACGTGCAATAGATGTCGTACAGAACAGATCAGCATAATAAATTAACAGTAATCTTTATGAGACAATGAGACAGAGAGAGAGAGAGAGAGAGAGACAGAGAGAGAGACAGAGAGAGAGAGAGAGAGAGGGTAATGACAGTAGCTTACAACAACATTATTGAAAGTAATAATATTATAGTTATAGTTCTGGCTACTGTGGTACAATATGTTGAAAGTATGTATTAATATCTGGCAGTATACATGTGTGACAATAGTCATACATAGTCTCGGAGAAGAAGCCGAGTTAGTGACATCCAAGTTTATGGTCCAGTATGTCAAAGGCTGAGCTAAAATCTAACAGTACTGCTCCTACTACATTGTTATTATCAGTATATTTAAAACAGTCATCTGACATCTGCGTTAATGCAGTTCCAGTCCAATGCCCTTCATGATATGCATGTTGAAAGTCTGTGATTAAATTGTTTTCTTTAAAGAAACGTTGTACTTGTTCACAGCCTATCTTCTCTAGCAGCTTGCTTAGAATTGGTAGCAGACTGAACGGTTGATTGTTTTTACCACTAAATCCCACTTTTGCGTCTTTCTGTAGAGGAATCACCTTTGCCTGTTTCCATGCTAAGGGAAAGACACCATTTACTATGCTGGAGTTAAAAATGTGGCAGACAGGTCCAGCCAGAAGTTTACCATCGAAGTTATCCTCTCGGTTTGTCAGAGCTTAAAGTTTGTAAATGCTTTTCCACTTGTTTTATATTTACTTTTACTAATTCAAATTTCAATGAGGAATTATTCATTATTACAGCTGTGTTTGAGGTTAGATAGCTACTATCTGAGGACAGGTCATGAATTTTGCCTCTAATAGTTAGAATTTTGTCATTAAAAAAGCTCATAAAATCATTACTGCTAAGGGCTAAAGGAATACAAGGCTCAATAGAGCTTTGGCTCTCAGTCAGCCTGGCTACAGTGCTGAAAAGAAACCTGGGGTTATTTTTGTTTTCTTCTATTAATGCTGAGTAATAGTTTGCTCTGGCATTGCGGAGGCCCCTCTTATAAGTTTTGAGACTGTCTGTCCAGATTAAACGAGATTCTTCCAGTTTGGTTAATCGCCAATTCCTTTCAAATTTTCACGATATTTGTTTTAACTTACAGGTTTGAGATTTATACCAAGGAGCGAACTTTCTTTGTTTTGTTAACTTCTTTTTAAGAGGAGCTACAGAGTCAAGTGTTGTTCACAGCGAGCCTACGGCGCTATCAACAAAATGATCAATTCGGGAGAGGTTAAAGTCGGTACAGGAAACTTCTGTTACTGAAGGACTTGGTATTGAATTTAACGACGCAGGAATCATTTCCTTAAATTTTGCGACAGCACTATCTGATAAACATTTAGTATAGTAACTGTTGCTGAGTGGCGTGTAATCGAGTAAAAAGAAATCAAAAGTAATCAGATAATGATCCGATAGCGAGGGATTGTGTGGAAAGACTGTTAGGTTATCAATTTCAATTCCATACATCAAAACTAGATCGAGGGTATGGTTTAAGAAAATCATATTGTTTGTCAATCAGCTGTGGCAACTGTGTCCCTCATTTAGAGTGTTTAGTTCAGATAGTCACTAAAACTGTCTTGACAGTCCAACTGTCTGACAGCTCTTGGTTTTCTGTTTAAATAAATCAAACAGTCTTAACACCTTCACATCAGACCACTTCTTCCTCTTGATTTGTGACACAGTCTGCCTCAGTAACGTCCACACTGAGTCCACCAGACATTGTCTTTCTGTTATCAACCTCCCCAACAAGAATGTGTCATCTTCACATTGTGTGAAGTTTGTTTTTTTACCCTTTCTTGCTACATTAGCCGTGCTCTGCTTCCTGCTGTTTCTTGTTCATGAATATTAATTCAGTGTGTTTCACTGCCCATTTAAAGGCACCTGTGGGCGGGGCTCACCTGCACCACATTTTGAGTTGATTGTGATTTATAAAGGGAAACATGTGTGGGACATGTGTGCGCATTGTGTTGTAAATCAGGATAATTCTGTGCATTGTTCATACTTCACCTTTTGTCAACTTTCCTGCACACAGTTTTATAAATGAGGCCCCTGGCTGTGACAACAGCGAAGAATTGCCACAACACAATTTAAATAATTGTGTTCACGTATCAAACTGGCGTCTTCAGACAATATCTCATGGGCAGAGATTCGCTGGCGGTCACCATCATTTTGGCGAGGCTTGATCAGTCTGACATTGTCAACATATAAACGCTGCGGTGACGCTCGGCTGTGATTCATCATAAAGACCCATCAGATGGTAGACCCGCCCCTGTTACATCTGTGACGGACTGATCTCCTGCAGCGGTTATTTTTAACCTTGAAGAAATGAAGCATGTCGAGCTGAGGGAGTCGCTCGCTGACAGGTGTTCATGAAAAGAGCACAGCTGTGAGATTAAGATTATAATCTGAGTGGAAAGACACATTACAGATATTACAACCTGGATTAAAGTCACAGATTACCCCACCCACCCACCCCAATCCCACAACTTTATTTAACACACCAACAACAACGAAAAACAACAACCTGCTGTCTACGTACGGAGATGAGCCTGTCAGACAGAGA